TCATTTTGATGCCCCGCTCGCTCAGGATCAGCTGCTTGAGGCACTCGATGCTGGCCGGAATGCGATTCAGTATGTGGCCCGCGCAGGAGTTCAGCAGATGGGTGAGGATCAGCAGGGACTTCATGCGCTCGCGCTCGCTGTTGTTCCTCAGGTGGATGAGCAGGGTGTCCATGATGCGCGTGGAGTACGGCTGGTGGCCGGCCAGCAGGTGAAAGCAGCGCAGCACCTCGTAGTGGCCCTTCACCGTCTGCGGCTTCTCGTAGTCGGGATACACGCAGACCAAGTCGAACAGGTGTGCGATCAAGGCGTCCACGATGCCATCCAGAACGGAGGGGTTCAGCGACAGATTCGTTTTCAGCACAGAGCAGAGGAACTGCGTCACCGCATTGCGGTCCACGCTGCGCCGGTAGAGGGCCAGGATCTGGGGCACCAGCCGGGCGGCCTGATCCTGTATCCGATCCTGGGGCAGCAGGGCGTACATGCTGGAGAGGGCCTGCAGTATTTCCACGCACACCTTGGGCTCCCTGGAGTGCAGCCACTGGTTGAAGAGCACGTCGTAGGCCACGCTGATCTCCGTGGCGCAGCCGTCGTGGCCCTTCTCCTCGAGCAGTGCCTCGCTGAACCGGCCGATGGCATAGGCATGTGCCTGCTTGACGTGATCCTGGCGAATCCCTCCCAGATGTGGCTGACTTCTGGCCAGGATCGCCTTTATGTGGGGCACCACGCCAGCGGGATGCTCGGTGGCCAGCAGCCCGAGGCACTGCATCAGCATGAAGTGAGCCACCTCGGAGCCGGAGCTGGTACTGGAGCTGGAGCTGGTGCGCATCTTCTCCTGGAGCGCCTCCATCACCTGCTCACAGCTCTCGGGGCTGCTGCGTCCAATGGCCACCAGAATGCGCTGGGCGGGATTCTGGATGAGGGGAACGTGCTCCGGACTCCTCGTCAGCTCCTGCAGCGCCAGGGCAATCAGTTTCTGGTTGGCAGCCGGCGGCAAAGCAGTTTCCGCACCCACCACGCGACGAATGCAGCTGAAAGATGGGGATTAGAGGTGCAATTAGGAGGGTTCTTCGGTACACACAGAGAAAAATCATGGTATTTTCCCTGGGTGTTGTGCCTTAGATTAAATTGTGTTAAAATTTTGTTTTTTGCAAAGAAAAAATAAGTTATAAATTAAAAAAAATTATATGTACAATTTTTCAATTGTATAAACCAATCAAATATGTTACTAATTACATTATCATATTTTAGGTTATTATAAGTAAGTTTAAACTGAGAAAAGCAAACATTCAAATATTTTAATGTTTCATTTTACTATGGGCTTTTTCTCTGGGTGTAATTATGCCCCCAGCACAGTACTCACTCCAGCAACATGGCCACCGTTTGATCGCTCATCTTGGGCTGCTGCGACCGGTGCTCGCTGAGCACCTCCGCCGCCCGCTCTGGATGCGTCTCCAGGATCTTCACGATCGCCTGCTGCATGGCCAGTCGCACCTGCTCCTCCTTGTCCGTCAGCCCATCGAAGATGTTGTGCAGCACACCTGCAAAGGTAAAGGCGCATTAATAGATGGATGATACTATAATGAATAAATACAATAACTTTTACACTGTAGTTATGCATTAAAACTCGTTTAGAAACGTTTTTAAATTCATTTACAAATGGTTTTATATTCATTTAGAAATTAAATTCATTTAGAAATATTCGAGAAGCCTTTTCTGATGTTTATTTATAATATTTGAATACTTTAACTATCTTTTTTTTGTAATATGTACCTCACATTTGACATTTTTGGAAATATTTTCTGATAATTATTTAACACATTTTAATAATCAATATATATTATATGTATCTAAAACCTGCATTTTATATCGCTTAATAATTTGAATACTCGTTTTGCTAATTTTATGTTACTACATTCAGATATATTTTTGTTATAACAAATATAAAAATTCCATTAAAAAATAATCATTTTCTAATAATTATATTTCTCGGTTTCTGTTTCTCTAAGCAAGCTCTGTAGATGGGAGAAACTATTTAAAAATTAAGATTTTGCCATTGACGGTGACTAATTTTCCCTTTTCTATGCACAATCAGGGCAATTATTTTGACCAAAACAAGGGGCAGCTCTCAAGAAAAACTAGTAACTAGATCAAAGTCAAGTTTACACTATAACTCTATTTATGTAAATGCACACACATTAAGGGTCGCAAAGGCAGCACAGACAAGCTTAGTTCTCAGCTTTTTATGGATTTTTCTTATCAGTGCATTGTTATTTTTTACCCTAACAAAGGGTATTATAGTGTGAGACTTCAATAAAAGATTTTTTGTAATTTTTTTAAATAAACAGAAAAATTGTCGATTTTAAAATTGTATTAAAGAATACCAATTAGAATTTGTTAAAATGTGGAATTATAATATTATAATAGTTAAACACGCAGCAGAGCTGAAGATCTTAAAGCGTTTGACAGTAATATGAAATACACCAGAGAACAACAAAATGCATGATGATAATGGTATGATAATGTTATGGCCAAAAATACGTATGCATGGAACACGTCATCCCAAAGATACATAGTCCAATTGGACCTTTTGGACTTCCAGTGATATTCGAGAGGACTTTTTAAGTTACAATTTCATTCTCTTTTGTTTGAGCTCTAGCTCACAGTTACCTATGTACAAACACAATAAATCAAATCAGATTGAATGCAATTTGTGGGTGTAATTGTGAAATCTAGTATTGATTTGTCATAGCAATAGAGTGTTACTTTTGTTTAATGTAGTGATGAATTTTTAGGGCTTCTCACTCAACAGGTCCCCAAACACACACACACACATGTTTAGTTACCATATATACATATATGTATGTATGCAAATACCCCAAATAGAGTTGTTTCCCTCTCTCTGTCTCTTTCACTCCACCCCCTAGATGTGGGGGCCAAAGGACTCGCCGTTATTTTAAGTGCTCATGTGTTCGTTGTCTAATGCGTAGTTGTATTTTTAGACCAGGATAAAGGCTGCGCTTTATCACTAATCCGAAACGGAGTGGAAAAGAGAGGGGGCGAAACGCCCATTACACATTTAGGCATTTACATATGTGTGTGTGTGTGCCTGTTTAAGAAGATTCACAGATTTATATTGTTTATCTATGGGATTACTGGAGTTCGCTTTGTTTTTCTCTGCTTTTCCTTACCTTCCAAAATCGAGGGCTTATCAACAGGCGCCGTGGAAGAAGAAGACGCAGTGGCACTTCCAGTGGCGGCGTTATTTCCAGCAGCTGATTTGTTGTTGCCCGTTGTGGATCCTCCTCCTCCACTTCCGCCCCCACCACCCCCTCGCTCGTCCATCTTCTTGGTGGAACTCCGTGTTCTTTTCCACTTCTCCAGCTTAGCGGGATTTCAGATAGAGCTAGACTAACGCGCACTTCTCGATCGCGAAAAAACCAACGAAAAACAAGCGTCAAACTCCGTTGCGAAATTGTTTTTGTTTAACTAATAGTGTGCCCACATGCTAATTGAAATAATCACCCCGTTTCCAGTATGTATGCGTTAGTGCCTTTTGGTTGTAGTCAAGCTGCAAGCCATGGTAGATAACTTGGCTGTTATTCCAATTTTGAAATTGTGTTTAAATTTCTAATCAGCGTAATTATTTGTTCCAATCAAATTAGATTTATCGTTACAATTGGGTTCGTTAACAAATAGAATCTAGAAAGTACAAAAGTATTGAGTGGCTTTATTCTATGCTTCAAAACTTTATGCAGAAATATATATTTTTGAAAGAGAATTTAGAATTAAACCAAAAAAAAACAATTAAAAAAGAAAATGGGGAAGATAGACAAATTATTATTATTTTTTATTTTTTAATTACATTGATTTTGTTTTTGAGCCTAATAATTTTATTTAACTTATCAGCGAACCTTGCCATATTCTAAAATTTTTTTTGCTTAGGCTGATAACAGCCGTTTTCCCACGCCATATTCTCACCGATAAGGAGTTGCCTATTTCCTTTCATGTTATAAGCAGCAGATATTTAAAAAAGAATGTCTTAAATAAACACTATTTAAATTACCATGCACCATGTTAGCCCCTCTTTTGCTGTTTTAATTCGATATCAGTATTTCGACCACAAACCAAGGCTAAACCACGATGAAGAACCAATGATAGCCCCTTATCACGACGCCCTTTCCTAAAAAAACACATGTCATATTAAATTCGTGTTTTCTTTTCGCTGGCAACAACACACACTTTTTAATTAATTTTTTACGATAACAGCAAATTTGATAAAAGAAATGTAAGACATAAATATTGTAATAATGATTAATATTTAAATATGTGTAAATATGCAAGTCAGAAGCACATGCATTTGTTTGTAAAAAGAATAAAAAACTTTAAAAATATAATTAAAGCTAAAAATTGAACATGTATAACTTTAACTTTTTTAAAGAATTAAATAATTTGGAAGTTTTCAATGCCAGGATTACTCTTAAAGTTTTTGAAAAGTCTCCGCTCTGCAAAAGCCGCTCTCTTAAATCGAAATTTGCTCAGCTGAATAAGGCAATCCAATTGGAAGTGGCAGCAACCGGTGGTGGATGAAATGGCTCCACCAATGGCCACGTGCAACCTGTGCCACTCGGAAATCCCGGGCCAATCAGAGCAAAGGGGCGTGGATAAGTGGCAGACACTTGCAGGAGCGAGAGAGCGCTACTATACTATGTTATTTATTTTTTGATCAATACTTTTTATTCTGAAAGTGATTTAAATATTTCATTTCGAATTAACAGCTTGCACTTGTGTTTTCTCAATACCGGTTTTTTTTTCAGGCAGTGAAAAACAGAAGGAAAGAGTGTGCGAGCAACTTAAGAGAGACGAGTACGCCCCAACTAAAGAGCGAGCGGCGTTCCATTGGCTCGCAAAATCCAATTCGATTCCGATTCTGAGCCGAGCTCTCTGCTTTCGTTTCATTCGTCTCGCGAAATTCAAGCCGCGCAGTCAAACTGAAAAGTTAAAAGTCAGTTTCAGTAACGTTTTGGAGTACGACGCGCGAGCATTATTGTTTCCATTGTTGACGAAGGTTTTTATTTCAAAAAATATAAACCTCGCTTTGCCCCGCTCTTTGGTGTTGCTATTTTTTTTTTTCAATTTGTCCTTGAGGAGCTTAAAAGAAAAACCCATAAAAACTAAAAGTGAGTGTAAGTGAAATATAAAAACCCAAAAAAAAGCGCGCCAAAAGTTTGCAAGTTTAAACAACAAAATGAATTTCACCATAATAAAGCTAAACAAAGAGAAACACAAGTTTAAAAGTAACTTAAACACAAGTTGAGTTAAACAAAAGTGAAATTAAGACAAAAAAAAAAAATTGTGTAGGATATTTTTTTACTTAACTTTAAACCTAAATAAATGTATTGCAACTTTTAACGAAAAAATAAATTAATGGATAAATTTGATATTGAAAAGTTTCAAGATTCTTAATATTTCAGCTTTACAAGAAAAATCATTTTTTTTTATAAATATTTATTGCATAGAACATGTAAAGCCTAGCTTTGATATAATAAACATTTTGGATGACTTTAAAGCACAGCTCACTAATGAATTGTTTATTCAAGCAAACTTTGTTCATTTAAGTTTAACTCATAAAGCTATTATTTACGTGAATTCCAAGAAGAAATAATGAAATCAAAAACCAGAAAAGGAGGCCCGTCGCATCGAAAGCGAGAACTGAACGCCAAACAAAAACTAAAATAATTCTATTCAGCCAAGTGAAGTGCAAACAATAACAATAACGATAACGAATCAAGTCAAATAAAGCCCAGAAATCATCTGGCTAAAGCATGCTCGAAAAAAATCAACAGAACAGCAGCCGAATCGATGTTAATTTTTGTGACTAATTTGTTAAAGTGCTAAACTAAGACGCCTTAAAATAGACAGCATCACCAGAAACTGCAACTTTGTGACTTTTCCCAGAATCTATACACATTTTTATTTAAAGTTAAAGTTAAATTAAATCATTCAAGAGTTTCACCACAATTTGATACCAAGAAACTCTAATGGCTTAGTTTTTTTTAGTTATTATTTTGGTCATTTGTTTAACAAAAAAGAATTGCTTGAATTGATAAATTAAAAGTTAAAACTAAGAAATAGGTTAGAATATTAAATAAATCCACGAAGAACTCTTAGTTACCTTCATATAAGTGTTTGTTTTCTGAGATATAAACGTTTTTTAAAGAAAATGTTTACTTTTGTATATCAACCAAAACTATAGTTTCTCGAAAGCGCTTTCAATTTAAAAGCATTTCTTTTTTATAAACAATGGTATTTAATTGAAGATTTTTGTACGTTTTTAATGCAAATACTAACTCTCCTATGCCAAGCAACGAAATCAATTGTTATTTGTTTTATTTTTTTTTCTGTGAATCGTTTAGAGATTAGAGTTAATTGATGAGTGAACAAAGGATAGCGCCGCCACAGCGAGTGATAAGCGACCTGCTGCTGCTGCGACCCGCACACTGAAAGAAAAAACGGGCGCAGATCAAAGGGCCGTCGCCGTCGACGAATGCATTTGCATCTCCTGGTGGCAGCCAAGACGCCTCCATCTGAGCATACGGATACGGGCGTTGTGGGGGATACGGATTCGGAACTGCCATTGGGACTAGGATTGTGTGCTGGATCTGGATTGGAAGCGGACCTAGGAGCTGGCACCACTGTGGCGCCCGTCAGTGTCGCCGGTCCCGGCCGCCTGGGTCGCAGCATCAACGGCAGCGGCGGCAGCCACCACCACCACCACCTGCACCACCACTACGCCCCCTACCACGCCCACCACCCGTACCATCCCCATCCCCATCCCCATCCACACCCATATCACACATATCCGCCGGCAGGGCATCCACATCCGCATTCGCATTCGCACACACATCCGCCGGCCATGGTCACCTCGTCGTCTGCCTCGCCAACGGGAAATGGCTGGAGCAGCAGCACCGGGGACTTTAAGGGCATCACGGCAGTGGTCACGGCCACCGATGGTGGTCGCCTGGTGGCCAACCAGGGAGCCACTGCCTCCACGGGCGCCACTGCCGCCGAGGTGCTGGCCGTTTCGAGCAGCGCCAGTGTGGGCAGCAGCTCGCCCACAGGTGGCGCCAGCAATGGCACTGCACACAGTGGACACAGTGGACACACCGGCGGTCACAGCAGTAGCAACACCAGCAATAACAACAATAATAACAGCAATAATGGTGCCAGCAACAGTAACAACAACAATAACAACAACAATAACAGCAACAACAGCAATAATGCAGTACACCAGGATCTGCTGTGGATGGAGCGATTGGTGATCAAGCGACAGCAGGAACATCCCGGAGAATTGGGTGAGTGTTGGAGTTAATGTAAGCAAACAGTTAAACAGTTAAAAACAGTTCAATTTTGAAAATAAAAGTTTTTATTTTAGAAGGAAAAACATTTTTGTATAAGCCGGTTATGTATTTAAGCATTAATTAACGAAATCTTTAAGCTCTCTGCTCAATCACAAGTTTTTTCATAAAGAGCCAGAGCAAAGTTTTCAAAAAAGTGCCAGAAATGGATTTTCTAAACCCTTGTTATTGCCGTTAGTTTTCAAATTTCTTGTTTAATGAGTTACAAATGATGGGAGATTTTAGTTCTTATTCGCCAATCGTTCCCACACAGAAAGAAACTTAACTATTGTTACATGAAATTTAAAATACATTGAAGGCCTACATTATTTAGTATTGAATTATTACTTAAACTTTCACACTGCTTGCAGATTATTTTGAAGGCACACTTATTGAAACTGCCAGTTTTAAATGTTCAAGATTTATAGTTCCATCGTTCCACTTGCTTTTAAACATACTTTCGATGGGTTAAAAAAAGGAATCAACACTTTTAGCTCGTGTCCAAGTCGAGATTGATATTTGCTGGCTGATGGCTGTTGGCTGTTCGATAACCCGATCCCCAAAGGTGAAGCGCACATTCTTTGCCACATCCTTGCACAATGCACTTCTGGGGCTTCCCCATCATCATCTCATCATCATCACGATCACGATTACGATCCAGCCTTATCAAATTCCATGGGGATGTCATTCCCATGATGATGATGATGATGATGATGGGACAGGCCGCGTCGGAACATGCGTAAATTGATATCAATAATTGTTATTGATATCAACGCACGAGTCGTTCCCCTTTTCCCCTTATTTTTTTTGTTGTTTTCTGCGTTTTTTGCAGTTGCCCGTTGAACTTTCCTACCGATCGATATGCTATCATTGGATATCAATGACCCACAGCGAAAGCTGCTAATAAAAAATCTCAGCTCATCGCTCCCCCTGTCGAAACTGAAATCTGTTTGGATAATTAGCCGGGGAAACTGGTTCCACCATTCGTTATATTTTCACTCCGCTGTGTCCTTTCATAACTTTTTAACTCAATGAAGTCGATTCTTCGGTTCTTTGGCTCTTCGTTTCGGGGGGAAATGAATGAGTTGCCTCGATATCAAATTTCAACTCCAAGGACCTCGCTGTTGGGGCTCTCAAGTGAGTTTATCAACATAAAAATGTGGGGCAATATTATACCCAAAGATTCAAGCTATCTTTTCACTATCTATAAATAATCGAAGATGTTTTACTCAAGTTATTGGATTTTAAAAGATTTAAGTATTTATTAATTTAAATATGTTTTAGGAACACTGTTGTTACTAAAATCTCCATTCAATTCATTTTAACGATTATTTTCAATTTTATTAAGGCATATACACATTTAAAGCGAAAATCTATTTAAAATAAAAATCTACATCTATCTACAAAATTTTGTTGTTACTTGAAACTCTATTTATTTCATAAGTTAAAATTACCAAAAATAATACAAATTATAAATTTCAAAGGTTACATAAACCAGAAGTTAAGATGTTAAACTATTCGTTAACCATTTTTGTGAAGTAGAGCCAGTTGTAAAAATTTAATTTAGTGATTATGGCAATTGGATTTGGTATTTTGGGCCAGTTTAGCCGGCAGACAAAGGTGTGTTAATCATTTATTTTGCGCAGCTCCACAGTTTGCTCCACTTTCGACACAGGGTCAACTGTCAAATGTCATCCGATGACAAACCTTTCCTCGCTCATTAATTAATTATGCACCGCCGGATGGCGGACAGCGGTCCAAGGACCCCGCGACTCGACTCGATATGATTGATATTTATGGACCGTACGGCACACAAACTATAAATAATTGAATATTTTTACTATACACAACGATAACGATAACGATGATGATGATGATGTGATTTTAATCAGAGGTCGCGACAATAATTAAAAAACACCCCCTACTATTCCCTCCTCTTTTGATTTTGCAGTGCGCACGAGCAATCCGTACTTCCTGTGCTCCGCCCTGCCCGCCCATTGGCGCTCCAACAAGACGCTGCCGATGGCCTTCAAGGTCGTCGCGCTGGCGGAGGTGGGCGACGGCACCTACGTCACCATCCGGGCCGGAAACGACGAGAACTGCTGCGCGGAGCTGCGCAACTGTACCGCCCAGATGAAGAACGACGTGGCCAAGTTCAACGATCTGCGATTCGTGGGTCGCAGCGGCAGAGGTGAGTACCCGAACAACCACTTGGGAATTATAAGCTAGAGGGTGAAGGTGACATCACTTGTAGTTCTGGGCATAGTGTGGTAAATCCAAAAGAATATGATGAAACACTTGAAAATCTGGGAAAATTCTAATTGTAATAAAAGGCCACTTGGGAATTATAAGCTAGAGGGTCAAGGGTCAATCACTTGCAGATCAGGATAAATTGTGGGCCTTTAAAGAGAATAATAGTTGGCACATTTTAGGAACAAAGGAAGAACAGCTTGGAAATTTAAGGAGCTGAGAAACAGAATATCCCGATTTTGTTCTTAAACGAAGAATTATATCACTTTAAACTTTAAGGTATTTAAGGTATTTTAAAATAAATTCTAGCACATGCGAAAACACTTGCCAGTTTCACATAGCGGAAGTTAGTGACTTCCTCAAGCACTGATGCAATCAGTCAAATGTCAATCATTGATTGACCAAAGAATTCTTCCCACAATATCCTACACTTTGCTCAATGACTTCATGTATTTGGTTTATCCTTTGAAATTTGCCTCCAGTTACACGGAGATAAAAAATTGTTTGTTTTTGGCCAAGTAACAATAAAAAAAACATTTTAATTTTGATTTTCCACTTAAAAATTCCGATTTTTCTTCCAAAAATATCAGTTTTTTGTTTATAACAATGATAATAATTTAATTTTAATTTAAGGTGTTATTTTGTTAACTTGGGCTTTAATAAATAGTTTTTTTAAAATAACTCATCTTAAAACATGCTTTGATAGGCTTCTTATATTTTAGTAAACTAGTTTTGAACATGGACTACAATTAACTTATCAAAGATAAATTGTTTTTAAAAAACAAACATATCTCCTGGCATTTGTGTTCCATCCCGTTTTTTTTCTTGTGCACCTTCCAAAATGAATCGGAAGTGCATTGATTGAGTGACATGACAGAAGTTCTGGGTCCCCAACTCCAATCTTCATCTTCATCTTCATCTCCACCTCCATAACCATCTCCATCTTCAAAATCCATCTCCATCCTGGTTGACTAATGTCTCCTGTGAAAAGGATCAATGGTACAGCAGTCGTCACATTAGGCTGCAGTTGGCGCTGGCCCCGGGGCAACATGCAACATGCAATGTGCAATGTGCGATATGCGGTATGCGATGTGCAGCACGAGGATTCCAGTTCTTACACCGAAAAAAAAATGCACATAGAATCCAAACTTTGGTCAAAATTGATCTTAAGGCCTTAGCATTAAAATCTTCGGTATATAAATTAAACTAAAAAGTATAGAGTTCTTTTTAGTTAGTATTGAAATAATACTTAGAAAGTGTAAGTATTGTAATACTGCCGACGGTTTATTAGCAAGACACACTTCTTAAAAACCAAACATTCAGTTTGTTTTTTTTTTTTGAGTGTAGTTCTGAGCTGCATATGGAAATGTGCTGGACGGAATCGGTTTTGAGCTGGGCGATCACGCAATAGTTGGGCCTTTGGGTCTGGTAATCGATTTGAACCCACAATTAATGCCACATTGCAGGCGATGCGATATGTGTTGCATAGAATTGGCAACAACAGCAACAGCAGCAACAGCAGCAGCAGCAGTTGGCTAATTAGCTGCAACTGTTGCCGCCGCTTCTTGACCCTAAGTCAACCTATGGCCCACCAAATTGACGGCTCGTGCCGCAAAAAAAAAAAGAAACACATACAAAATAATTAAATACGGCAAACGGCAAAAGGGTATGCAAATAACAAGCTAATGATGTAAGAACATAAACGCTGACCAAATTGTCAACGGCAGGCAGCAGCAGCAGCAGCAGCAGCAGCAGCAGCAACAGTTCATTTCATTTCACTTAATAGCCACGCCCCCGTGACCCCCACCGCCCCCACTGACCTTTGGCTGGGCATGAAATCTCGCGGACATCATGCAGCGATTTCTGATTAGATGACAAAGCGAACGAAAACAGATGTAAGCGAAACCATCATCAGCCTGTCAAGGGTCACAAAATGCACACAGAAGACTAACGTCGCTGGTGGTGTTTGAACCGAAATATACCCTGGAAAACTTGTTATAAATTCAAAATATTCTTATATATATATGAATATATATATATATATATATATATATTTCAAAATAAATACTTTCTTAATAAAAATATATATTTTTTTGTTACTAATAAATTAAAAATGTTTTATAGTATTATTTGATGTTCCTTTCAACATTTATAGACTTGTAAAATATATTTTTTTCTTGTTTAAATGTTTAAATAAAAATATATATTTTGTTTTTAACAATCGGGTAATACTTAGGTTATTATTTTAGAAAGAAAATAATATAAAACATAATCTACAGAAAATTTTATGAAGGGTATCAACTATTGCAATTGGCTTTTGTCTTACATTTTTCGCGTTTTTTGTTTTATGTGTTTTTTTTGGAGGGGGAGGAGCTTGCTTTGACCATTGCTGGATTAAGTGAATGGGGCGTGGCAGCTTATCGCCTTTTTATCCTGGTCATGGCATGCGTCGACATGTTTTTAATTTGCCCCCAGTCCGCAGTCAAAACAAAAATCTAAATACGAATCGCCATCTGATTTGGACATTCCCCGTTTTTAACCTTCGATAGGCCCACTTAATTACTAACTTTGGCAAAAAAAAAACATTCACATCGACATCGACATTATAATCATCATCTATCATATCAAAGGACTTGACTTGACTTGACTTTCACTGGCGATGGGATTAAATTTGTGAAAACAAAGCAAATGAAGGACACGCGCCACCGGGAATTTATAAGTCGCATCAGGATGTTTTAGCTGAAAAAGGGTTGATGTACAGACATCTAGATTCCCCGATAAACTTGAACATCGGGGGGACCTGATCCGACTTAGTGGTCGGATGGGCGGAAAGGTTAATAGGATGAATATTTGGAATATTTGGAATATTAAGGCATTTAGACATTTAAACAACTGGGGCAAAGGGAATTCTTTCACTTATTTATAGTTGTGCCATGATTATAATTTAATTAAGCCCACTTACTGGAGTAGCTTTATAGCAGACCCTTGAAAAGACTTCAAATTCACAATCAAATTTAATTCCTAGTGGCTTACGGCAAAGTTAAATCCATTATTTAAGTATTTATTAGTACAAGAAATTAACTATTATTGTAAAAAAAGAGCATTTGCATTTCAATTGATTTGGGAAAAATACATTGCAATAAAAGACTTATGTTATATTTTGTATTAGAAGTAAGTTTTTATTTAACTTAAATTGTAACTGAGTGAAGTCTTCGACTCTGAATGGAATTCAACAATTTTAATTTACAATATAAGGTTCCGTTTATTTTCCTATTTAAAATGCTCACACTACTTTTAACTTACCAAAGTGAATTATTATTTGTGTTTCCATTAAATATATTTTATTCTAGTACTAAAGTAAATAGTTCTATGAAACAATTTGTTGCCAAAGTGTTTTATTTTTTTTAGAATATTTATGCTCGCATAGAGCAAGGCTCTATATTACCATTTCTTATCAGGCTGGGAACTGAATGCTTTATGTTCGCCCTATCAAGATCGCGACTTCCGAAGTTCCCAGCCAAGAACTTGTGCCATTATTCAGTGGCTGTGATGCTATATACTACACATATGTTCCGAGTGATATCGGCACAGGGTTTATCGCCCGAAAGCTCGACACTTGAGGTTCCCACAGAATCATGAGGCTTCTTGCCAGGTCTTATCGTTCCGAAAGGCGATGGCTCATGGATGGATGTTTCTGTGGGTTCCTGGGTAATATATATTTAGATGTATATATATAGCATATATGGAGCAGATTACTGATGCCTCTGACTGACTGACTGACTGACTGACTGTCCAAGTGCGTGAGCCAATGGTCATTGTTCATTGATGATGACTAATTTGTAGGGATCCCTCTTCAACTACATCTCTATTATGGACATTATTGCGCCCATTTAGGGCGCGTTGTCCAAAGACAAAGGGCAATTACTCTGTAACGATCTTTTACATACGATGCTCTATACGATGCTCCATACGATGCTCCAGTTCCAGTTCTATTTTCAGTTTTGTTTGGCCATTTGAAAAATTACACCGAAAAGGAGCCAGCTTCTGCGGCACTTGATTAATTTGGCTTCACCTTTCTTTCAACTGATGCCATATATGTAGTATGAAATAAAAATGAAATACGAAATAAGTCGAACACGCAGGGCCATAAGTTTCCAATTCTCTGGCGTAATGAAGACATTTCGAGATTTGTAGATCTCAATGATTTCGGGTTCACAAAACGCTTTCTAACTGATGGCTATTCCAGTTTCTATTCGTGGTTTCGGTTAATGAACCCATCAAATCTTCAATTATCTCCGTTCGGTTCATTGTGTCTAGTTTGAGGGTTTCATTGTGGCATATAGCATTATAGCTTTGCTGCATTACCATTACCCAAACACGACTGAACTCTCCTATAATGTTAAAAAAAAGCTAGGCACTAATATATACTATAATCTCTTATTTATGCATATTTAACTAACAAAGATTGTTTATTTTCCTGTTATGTTTAGCATGTGATTCATTTCGATTATGCTTGACTTATTCATAATCATTATCTTTGAAAAATAGGCATTTATGGCACTCACAAGCTCGTAACTCATACATACATTATCATATTGCTTTGAGGATAGTAAGCTATTTAAGCTTCTAACTTATTATAAATTAGGATAAGTTTTTACAAAATTATTCATGGGATTTCCACAATAATAATAATAATATATTTTAATAAGATAGTAGAAGGATGGCTTTTATAAAATGTTTTCTATTTTACGTCTTTTACTACATATATATTTCCCACTTTATGATTTTAATATAACATTTCTGACTAATTCAAGCCATATTTATTTTGATTTTTGTTTTTATTTTGTTTACGTTTTCTTCAGATACCTTTGTATTTATTTTTTTGAGGTATTTTAAATTTAAACTCTTAACAATTTAACAATTATTCCCCTCCAAATATAATTACAAGCAAGTAATTGTCATAATTCGGATTTCGTATTTTTTTATATATCTGCCATATTTTATTTATAGATTATAGATTATAGATTAAATGTATACTTATTTTATTAAAATAACAGAACAAATGTTACGGTTTTCGTTTTTAACAAATAAGTAATTCCCTTTTCACTGATATTTTCCTCTGTTAACATTCAGGTTTCTTAATTAAAAGTTAAATGCAATTTGCATCAAATGGTCAAATGGTCACTCACCATTCACCATTCAACATTCACCTTTGACCACCCATCCATCCACCTATATCCTATGTACTATATATAGAATCCTTGTTCAGTCGGAGATGGAAGATGGAAGTTACGAGCTTGGGTTTGGGTTTTGGGTTTTGGGTTTTGGGTTTGGGTTTGGGGATGCGACTGAGGTTTCTGCGGTCAGCTTGGATGGACCTCTCGTGCTATTTTCTCTTTTTGGACCAAACAATGTCGCTTTTGTGGGTGTTTAATTATATGTATACATTTGCAGGCAGACAGACAGACAGACAGACAGTCAGACAAACAGTCTGTGTGACTGCTAAAATATCAAAATAAAATACTGAAAATTCATTTCATATTTACGCAATCGATAAAAGCTGTCCGATGGCCTTCAGCCTTCAGTTTTAGATTTGCAGCCCCTGCAAACGGTGTCTAGTTTAATGGCCATAAATAGTGTAAACATTCGGTGAAGCCCTGAAGAAAGCAACAAAAATGTAAACTCTTTCTGGCCACAATGTTGCCAATGTTAACCAAACGAATTGGGGGCGGCGGCGGTAGTGAAATGAGGGGCGTGGCCGGGCGGAAGACAGGTTGCAACATTTCCACATTTTATGTGCACTTCGAAAACGACTTTGGCGGCAGTCATTAAGGAGGGATAAACCAAATTTATGTCAAGAATGCGAATAAATTGCACCGCCGGCGGAAAGAGTTTTTGTATTGTTAATACGAAGTGCAGGATACCCTTAAAATTATATAATGACTTCAAGTGCTAATACTATTAAACATAGCTTTAAGATTTATCGAATAAATAGTAAAATAAAATAATTTTCTTTGGAATGCCTTAACCCTAAACGATTGTAACCTATATATGTAACATCTGGATGTGTAAATGATGTTCTATACCAAAATTTATAATAATAGTTGAAAGGGTTACAGAGTTCACTCAGACTAGCTACCCTAAGTATGAAACAAACAAATAAAAGCTCTAAAAAATGTATACTGACTTACAAAAATAACCTACAAAATGTGTTATTAGCTAAAAGATTTATCGAATTAATAGTAAGATCACAAAACTAATACTTTCGACAATAAAATCATTCATTCTTGGAATAACCTAAGCCCATACGGTTCTACCCTATATATGCAACATCTGGATGTGTACGCAATGTCGTATACCAAAATTCATAATAATAGCTGAAGGGGTTACCGAGTTCACTCAGACCACAAGCTCACACTTTCGCCCAAAAGCCATAAGAAGTGCAGTCATTAAAGGGGTAGGCCCGCAGACACACGAACGAACGAATTGTGACGCGTGTTCGATGGTTTGGGTTAGGGTTTGGTTTTGGGTTTGCGTTTGGGTTTGGGTTTTTGGTAGTTCTTCCGACTGGCAAATTGATTCGGTAGCCCAGTGAGGTCGTCGCATAAATCCTCCTTCGGACATTTACGACTCAATTTCCGCATTCGCAGCGTTCTCTAATGCCAACCGATGATTTTTGCAGGGAAGAGCTTCACGCTGACCATCACGGTGGCCACGAGTCCGCCACAGGTGGCAACCTACGCCAAAGCCATCAAGGTGACCGTCGACGGACCTCGGGAGCCCCGCTCCAAGACAAGTAAGTGCCACAGATCGTATAATCCTGAAAATATTGCTGAAAGCCTCTAGGAGGTAAAATTAGTTATTCAAGAGTTTGGCAGTTCGTTTAAGTTGAATGAGATCCTCTGTAAAATAAAAAGTAAACTCTCTATGTAAACCAAAAAACCTGACATACTAAGCTGTAACAATATAGCCAAAAAGTATTAAAATTTAATCAAAATGTGGTCATAAATGTGGTTAATCTGAAAAACACAACTGTTAAGAAAGAGTATTTAGTCTATAATCGAAAAAATAAGGGATAATGGACTACTTATTCTTAAATTAAATATTAAATTATTCAAAGACTTAATAATGGCAAATGTGGTTGACAAAATTTGATTTGCAAGATATTTATTTAAATTTCTGGATTACTTTATTATTTCTTTTAGATCTTAATTGTAAATAAACACAAATACACATCAACAAAAATGTAAATTACTTTAAAAGGCTATCCATTTCACATAGTTTTTTTTCTGCCGTGTAGCACCCTGCTCAACAAAGAGTGGCACAACAAACATAAGTGGCTACATTGTTTTGCCAATTAGCAATTATCACTTGCCACAACTATCAACTAAACAACAACAAAGAAGAAAGAAGAAGTGGGGAAAGTCGTGGAAAGAAAAGGCGTCCCGTTGCGTTTTGGGTTTCGCACTGCAACATGTGTCCATGTCCGTGATGTCCGTGCTGTCCGCTTTTCCCGCCGTAATCCGTAACCTTATTCCGGAGTCACTTGGACAAGTGTTTAAGCCGGCTTCAATAGTTAAGCCGATCTGCTCAATTGCCCATAATCGTCCTCAATCCCTAGTTCCTAATCCCTATTCAAAGTCGAACAGACGGTTTCTTAGCTCGATTTAACCAAAAGAAATAGGGGAGATTATTTTTAACTTCAAACTAATAGATCAAAATATCATATCCAGGGAAATGTAATGCTAAGATCAAAATTAAAAATGTACTCACCAAGAGTAGGAAACATAATGATATGCATTGTAATTATTGCTAGATAAATTTAAATATAAAATACAACATTTTGAATTCAATAGCCAGATATATACAACTTTTAATATTTTTTAATTAAAATTGTAATTTATCTAGAAATTTATTTTCTGTGTAGTTTTTGTTCAAGGCTTCTGCCATCGAGATCCTTTCTCTTTCTTTGTGGAGGATCATCGTGAGATCCTGTGACATCCGATGAACGCCATTGTTCGATCTCGATGTTCTGTCATTCGGGAAGGTGTTTGAAAAGTGCAGCCGGTTTTAGCCGACTTTTTGAAAGTGGAATGGGGCAATGCTGCTGCCTCTTACGGTTTCTGAAAATTTTGCGGTTTGCAAAGAAAACCTTTTTTCTCTCTCTTTTTGTTTTTTGCTTCGCATCGAGTTTTTTATTTCGTGTAATGCATATATGAATTAATTTTTTCCTCTTGATATTTCGTTAATGCATTTTTAGGTCTTCGCTGCAGCGTTAATTGCATGTAGGGAAGGTAACACTATATATATATATATATATATATATGTGCATATATCGTTTGGGTTTAGTTTATATTATATATGTATAGAGTACAGCTTGAGTTTGACTTGTGGCAAATTAAGGTTGCAACACTAAAGAGTACTGTGCAAAATGGAGTCGGTCCTTTGAGTTGTTTGGTTTCGGTTTCAAATTGGTTAAATAGTAGTAGTACTTTTTTTTTTTAGCAAACACACAAAAAAAAAGCAAAGCAAATTATCCAAAACTTAGAAAATATGAGCCCAGCTCACAACCAAAAGAAAATTGTCATAGAAACATGACTATGGTTACTTAAATTTTAAATTATTGTGTATGAAAAATGTCTCAATAAGATGAGTATTAAATGAACAGCATGAAAGTATCAAAATAAAACATACTTGGTTTAAAAATAGGGTCTTTGACTACAGTTTAAGATCCTTCGGTATAAAAATTAAACTAAAAGTATAGTGATTTTACTATATAGTATTTAGTATTCAGTATTTATAATTTATACTTATTCTTTTTAAGACACACTTATAAAAACTAAACTTTCGTTCTTTTTTTGGGTATATTTATATTTATTTATTTCAATTTATTTATTATTATTGGGTATATTTTTTCCGAAATTTAAGTTTAGGTAATTTTGTTTCTTAGGGATCCAGTTCAAGTTGCTTATTTTTCTTCGTACTAAATGAGCCCCCACTTTTCGTTTAACCCTTGGCAGGTCCGACGGGTGGGCCGCACTACCGGGCTCTGGGCCTCGGCCAGCGGCCCTATATCGACGGATTCCCGACCAAGGCGTTCCAGGAGCTGGAGACGATCCGGCGCTCTGCCAAAGTGGCGGCGGTAACGACGGCAGCGGCTTCGGTGGCGGCAACCGCGGCAACGGCGGCTAATGCGGTGGCAGCGGCGGTGGCCGTCACGCCCACGGGCGCCAGCGGGGGCCCTGCTGCGGGGGGCGTGGCCGGCGGAACGGGCACTGGCCTGGTGCAGCAGCTGAGCAGCAATTACTCATCGCCGAATAGTACAATCAACTCGGACTGCCAGGTCTACAAGCCAAATGCGCCGCACATCCAAGGTAAGCTGATTGCACTGCACAAAATTTCTCAAAATATTCCTACTCACAAATTTGAAAATAACTAACTTGGTTCTGTTATTTATAGAAATGCAATGTAAAAATGTTAATTTATGGGGCATCAAAAAACATAAGCCTTTTAAAAAAAGACTAAGAGCATCTGTTTCAAGTTTTATGTTTTAAAATAGCTTTTCTCTAACATTTTTTAGGTATTCTTTAATAATTAAGTGTAGGGAATTTAAAGATTCCTTTAAAAAGGGGATTGAAATATGTTTCAAAATTAATTTTCAATTTTATTGATTTAAGTTTCTTAAGCTTTGTGCGACGCATTTTTTAAGCAAACAATAGAAACTAATTTTTTTGACGCAAGTATAAAATAGCTATAAACACTGAATATAAGCAAGAACTTTCTTTTATGGAATAGTTAAAACGAGAGTTAGACAATATTCGGCTTATTTGCTGTCATTTTATTTGGCAGCCGAAGAATTTTTCTTAGTGTACAACGCATTCCCCTCTTCCACTCCACTCCGTGTTTTTAAAACCCTTTCAATGAAGTTGTTAGCGATGAAAGCCGGCCACGCTTTGCAATTTATGTGTGATGTCTGATGTGTGATGTCTGATGTCTGATGATCTGTGCAGCTTGGTTGACTGGCACCAGGCTGCCTAAACGATTTAATTGAGTTAATCAACCTGCCACACACCCTACACCCTACACCCCAGGCCTCATCTTGATTTATTTTTGGTATTTTTATGGCGCGCTTTGTTTTTGGCAGTCGCTCGCTAATTTATTTATTTTCCCAAAGCTCGCCTTAAAAATAGTTCACAGCCGTTGTCGCTGGCCTCAGACGGCCTCTATATATTAATATAAATATATATACATATATACATTTGAAAAAGAACAATTGTCTTTTGTATGTTTTTCTTATTTTCTTATGAAAATAAACGGCAGAGTCAGAAATTGGGAAAACCCAGTGAAGATATAGTAAAATGGTGTCATATTCCTTAATCATTTGGTTATTTTTATAAGGAAGACAATGCCTTATTGAAAAAGACAAAGACAAGACTTTTAAATATTCATGTATCTTATACAGGAGTGGGTGAAAACATTGTTAAATATATTTTTTGATGTAGTTGTTAGAAAAGTCTTTAAAATCTCAACTAAACAATGCTTTTTAAGTTTTACATTTCTTAGGTAAATAAATTGCAAGTTAAATTGTATAATATTTATTTTTTTGTTTTTGTATGATAGGTTTTAGACTTTTTGCAGCGAAAACTTAATTTATAAATAGCGACAGCCAAAACTGTTATGTCCAGGAAATCTTTGTGAACTTGCATAAATAAACTATTTAGAATTAACACTTTTCCTTTTTTCGATCCAAACTCAGAGGCTTGGCCTTGGAAAATTTCATTTTCCACTGATCCGCCCTGGATTTGTCTTAGTATTCAATCAATTGGCATTCATTTCTGTCCGGCCTGTAAAATCTTATCAAAATTCCAGTGAATCAATTGATATGGCCAGAGCAACTGGAACCGGGCTTTGAGTCACGGCTGATGATGAGTCAGTTGGAGTGGCCAGTTTGGAACTAGACGAATCTGAGCCACGAATCGCCGTGTTAAGCCCAGACTAAAGCATTTTGCTTATGCTAATTAATTTATAAATGTTTCTTCTTCACGCACCCTTTTGCAGTGGAGGTCTTTTGACTTTAGTAAAAATCTAAAAATTAAAGTTTAGGTTTAATAAGTGTGTCTTAAGGCATAAGTATTAATGCAATAGTAAATTATATAAATTTCATACTTTTCAGTTTCTAATGTTTAGTCCTGTTTATTTAATATATTTTTGGCCTACATCCGCATTTTGTGATTGTTTCGCAGACTATTCCAAATTCCTAGGGTATTAAAAGCCTTCACTTTCTACGTTTTTTTCGGGTTTTTAAATCAGTGGGGCGGAGGAGGGGGCGGGGCGGGGGTAGTTGATGTCGGAATAAACGCGTAAGCGTATTGTCAATGGGGGAATGACACATCGTTGACTTGGTCGTCGTCTTTCAATTAGCCAAAAGCAAAAGCGGCCAACAGCAGCAACAATAATAGCAACAAATGCAATACGTTTTGGTTTTTATTTTTTTTTTGTTTTTGTTGGAACCGGAAATGCCCGAATCGAAGCGAGAAATTCACGTCTGAATCCGAATCTCCAACTCAATCTCAATCTCAATTTGAATCGGAATCGGAATCGAAGCCTCTATGGGGAAAAAACTTGAGGCGCTTTTGTTGTTGCTGTTAAGTCATAAATATTTAAATGTGGCGCTTAAGCTGTTAATTTACACAATATAAGGCAACAACAAAAAGGCATTCGGCCGGGAATTCAGCGGAAATCGTTGCAAAATTCAAAGAAATTGGGTTGGATGATGTGCAAAAAAAAAACAAAAAATTCAACTGTTTATCCATACATCTGTAAGTTGGTAGAATAAATGGAGCAGAGGATTTAAATAAAGGGTAGCAAAGCATTTAAGCCCATAATGATAATTGATGATAAGTCAGAGCAATAGACAAGAATGTAAATGCTAAAATAAAAATCAATCAAAAGAAAATATGAAGAAAAAACCCAAAAAGTAAATAGTTTGATCACATTTGATTTTTGGTATTTCCAATTTTATCATTTTTACCGAATAGAACAGAAATGCCAAGCTCAATTACGTGAATCCCTTAATTAAGTAATGGAAAACCCAAGATCCAATTCAAGTTGAGTAATAATTTGCACATTGCTTTAAGAAAAAGGTTTACGAAGGCTATAATAACTAAAAAGAAATGGGTTTTTATGTGTTTCAATTGGTTTATTATTTTTTATTTGACTTATTTTGGTAAATTAAAGTAGTTGTATCAATTGATATCTTCAAATATTCATGAATATTTTCAGTTATTATAGGTTTCTAAATTTAAAAAAAAAAAAAATATATTGTTCATTTATAAATTTAAAAAAATGAATAAACATTTAAGCGATTTAATTGATAAACTAAGTGTAAATCATTAAACTTGGCCCTGTTTTTTGTCCTTTTAATTGTTTTGTGGTTCAAACACCTGTGGCATCGAAGTATTCAGTATCCAGTGATCATTATTATTCCGCATATCAGTGCAATTCGGCATCTGCTCCAAACTTAATGCCGAGACTCACGCCTTCGTGTTTGCCTTCATTTAAGTGGAGAAAATATGCAAATTTGGACCCAGAATCTTTGGGTTTTTGGGTTTGAGTTTGGGGTTTTAGTTTTTGTTTGCGGGCTCCCCACTTTTGGCCACAAATCAATCCAAATGCGGTTGCGCAGCTGTTGCAGCTTCAGTTTGGCTGCAAGATGCAGTCATCAGTGGGTGAAGGAGGCCGCCGGGGGGTTAAGAGTGACAACAATGTCACACATATTGAAATGGAATCTTTTTGGCCCATAAAACGGAGCCAACTTCGGTTTGGTTTTGGTTTTGGTTTTGGTTTTGCTTGTGCTTTTGGTTTACATTTTTTTTATTTTATTATTTTTACAACCAATGGCCGCAGTCACTTCCCTGCTCATCAACATCAACTTGAACATCACCATCACCATCGCAAAAACCCAATCCCGAGACCCAAAAAACCACAAACTCACTTCCGTTTCGCATCGTTGTTGTTGTTGCTGTTGTTGTTGTTGTTAATGTACGGGTACTTGTTTCTTTTTTTTTATTTTTATTTTTTTTTTTGTATTTTTCTCTGCCGCCATTTTGCTGCAGACCAAAATAAGTAAAAAAAACCAGGGAACACCTCACAAAAAAATGTTGTAAAAAACGAACTCCATTTACACCAATATAAGCGACTGCCACTGCCACACAATAACAACTTCAGTTATACGCACTTTAATTGAAATTGCTTCAAGACTTGAAAGCTATCATCTGCTTTCACAAGGCATAAAAATGGCCAACTTAAAATTGGATATTGGAAAGAAATCTATAAGTTTTCTATACAATTTTCTTTCTTTTTCTTATGTTCACCCCAGTTTTTAGATAAATATTATTGTGTTTAAAAGTGTAGCGATTATTCTTAAGCAAAATAAGTGTTGATTTTTGTTAATTGGTTTATAAAAAAAGTGGAAACATGTAGATAGCCAACCAAAAGGTTATTTAATTGAAATTATTTATGTGAAATAAATAAATCTAGATAAATGAAAGTTTTCCATACAAATTTATTTCCCTTTTTTTAGGGGCTGCCCGATTTTTAAATATTAATTATATATTGATAAAAAAAATTGGTTATTATGGAAAATAAAAAGTTAGCCAGTCAACTAAAAGTAGGATATTTAAATGCATTTTTTTCCATAAATTAATCTAGATAGCTTGAAGTGTTTCCATCCCTTCACTTCCCATTTCTTATGTTCTTCTTGAATTTTGGCCATGTTTAGCAGAAGCCACCACCTGCAGGCACTTGACTTATCCGCAAAGTTTGTGGTTTCAGTTCGGATGGACTGATCAGGCTGCATCCGCTTTTTCCCCCATTCGTTAGCCCTTTTTCCCTGTTGTTTTTTTTTTTTTTTTGCTGAGCGGATATATGGCCAAAATCGCAGATATCCGGTTGTAGCCGTGGGATCGATTGAAAGTGCAAGAAACTTGGATAGTATTTGGACGGAAAAAAGGCTGAAATTTATATATCTATATGTATTTCCTGAAGCGCCAATTAGTGCGTCAACATTGCGTATACGCAATTTCAGTCAAAACAATTTGTGCATATTTCCACGTGCCAGCTGAAAATTACGAGGTATGAGCAATGGTTGGAGACCATGCCCCTTTATTCCCCGCCCCTGGAATCTCCCCTTTTGCTGCCCCTTCAATCTTTGCTAACTTGGCTTTCATCCTGTTCGTCTCGCTTCATTGCAACCTCATTTGCCTAAGTTTGCGGTGGTCCACCAATACCCCTCCCCCCCCAGCCCAACCCTTCCCCACCCCCTTTGCACCGTCGCCCATGTCTTGGGCTTCAATTTAGCCCATTGTTGTTGCTGCAACGCAATTTGCGCCCTAATTGAAACATTAAAATGTGATAAGTGCCGGGTGAAAAGTTGCATGCAACTTGCAATTTTCCTACCTTTCAGTAGTCGCCGCCCCTGTTTTTTTTTATTTTTAGTGGGGTTAAGGGGGTCTTAAATGAGTACGTGCGTAGTATGCGTACTAGAGTTGATTATTTATTACAGTGCGTAACTAATTTCCCCCTTTACATAGGGTGTTATTATGCTCTTTCGGCTTGGTGACAGGAAAATTATGCACTTGTTTGAGCAAAAACTTAATAAAAATATAATTGCTCAATTAAGTTATATTTCTACGTCTATATTTTCATTCCTTCCCTAATTGCTTAAGAAAGAACATGAATTTTATTGGAAAAATCTTTAATTTAAATGGGTTAGGCTCTGAATTTTAAATATATATTTATTATTTATATTTTAAAGGAAAGAAAGCAAAGGCATAATCATAGCCAACTCAAAAAGGATATATTTTTATCAAAAATAAATACATCATTTTTCTTTAGAATATATTAATTAACTAATTAAGAATCAAATAAGTAACATTTAATATTCTATATTTGCATTCCTTATTTCGTTGCTTTAAATAAAATTAAATGAATCTTATTAGATAAACTTAATATATTCTTGTTTTAAGGGATCTTTTTAAGATAAATATATTTGGACAAATGAATAATTTATTTAATGTTTTTGTTCAATTAATTTAATATTCGTTCCCTATTTGTTATAACCTTCATGAACAGTTCCCTAGAATATATTTCAAGTGTTGTGGGTCTTTCCTTAATATATTTTTGCTACCTGGAAAAGGATTTGCCTTTGGACCATTTCGCTAGTTATTTTTCTTTTATCGCTTCTAATGAATTTGATTAATTACGCGACATTTTTGTCGCTTTGTTGCTTTTGTTGAACAGCTGGCACAGGGCGTGCGGGGGGCAGGGGGTTTATTCGAGGGGGAAGGAGACTGAGATGTTGTGTAATTAATCAAAAATATGCAAGATTTTGGGAATGGGGCTGCGATGTCCCGCTGGTTGACTAGGAAACCCAGTTCCCAATGTCTTGGAATTTTCTTTCGTCTTTTCGCTTAACCCATTGACATGCACTGCAGTCGCCGTGGGGTTAAGGCTTAAGAGAGGGGGTGTGGCTGGTGGGCGGTGAGCTGGTGCTACACACATGCCTCCTTCTTCTGCTTCTTCATTTATGGTTGCCATGCATATGAAATGATGTTTTCAATTATCCCTTCGGCCACGCCCACGTTTGCGACTGACAACTTGGCAAATTTCACGCAGGGGGTTAATTGAGGGTGGGGAAAATCAAGGGTTAATTGGCCCCCCAACTGGCACTCATTTACCAGTTCTCTTACGCATTTTTCACAATTATTTTCCGTATTTCCGTTGGAAAAAGTTCATCCGCTTTTTTTTTAACTGCAATTTTTTATCTACATAGTAGACATTTATATAATTTTTCTTTGTATATATGTTTATAATGATATTTTCTCCACTAAAAGTACATTTTCAATTATTGGTAAGCGTGTGTTTAAGATATTTGATTTAGGGCAACAAAAAACTACTCCTAACACACTATTTTACCCATGTTTTCTCCACTAAAATTCTCATTTTCGCCTTGATCTCTTCCAGGTGCCGACATGATGGGCGCCGGCGAGTGGACGGGCTCCTCGAGTTCGGCGGCTGCCTACTACCACCACAGCCACGCCCACCACCCGCACGCCCACCATCCGCACGCCCATGCGCACGCCCACCTGCAGCACCAGATGGCCCTGCCGCCGCCGCCGCCCCCTCCCGCTGCCGCCCCTGTGTCGGTGGGTGGCAATGGCGGGGCCATGGGCATGAACATGGGCGTGGGCGTGGGCATGGGCATGGGCGTGGGCGTGGGCGTCGGCATGAACCATTACGGCGGGGGCTACGACTCGGAGGCGGGCCAGTATGCCGCCCATTTGCCGGCCGTTCTGCCCGAGATGCATGGCCATGGATTCGCCACGGATCCCTACCAGACAGCCGGCTACGGAGGCGTCTCCAATGCGGTGGCCGGCGGCGGAGGCAGTGCCTCCAAGTCGGAACTGGACTACGGCGGTGGCTACAATCAGGCGTGGTCGAACGGGTATCAGAACTATCAGTACGGCAGCTGCCTGGCCCCCGCCCCGCCCCCCTCAGATGGCGTCGGCGGCCCCGCCCCCGCCGCCGCCGGTGGTGCTGTGTCCGCAGCTCTACTCCACGGTCAACCAGAACCAGATCCACCTGCATCTGCACAGCAGCGAGAAGCTGGAGCAGTACCTGGGCACGGCCAGTGGGGCGGACCACCTGACCATTGGCTCGCTGACGGGCGGCAGTCGCTCCAGCCTCGAGATTGCCCAGGATCAGTATCACCCACTGCAGCAGCAGCAAGTGCACCACACACTGCAGCAGCAGCAGGTGCACCACACACAGCAGCAGGTGGAAGCCACTGGGGAAGTGGGTGGTGGAGGAGGTGGAGGAGGAGGAGGTGGCGGCACTGAGTCCGCCCGCGAGGAGGATGTGGGCGATCTCACGCAGGTGTGGCGACCCTATTGACCCAATCGGATCTCCACCCATCGGCCAGCACCACCCAGCCGCCAACCCAGCCACCCACTTGCCACCAGCACCACCACCACCCACCGCCCACCGATGCACCTGCACATCGAACTGAACTAGGAGGGCAGCAGCAGCAGCATCACCACAAGAACTGTACAATTCTATTTTTTTTATTTTTTTTTCATAGCTAATAACGTATATATATATAATTAACTAGCCGCAACAAGACAAACATAAAAAACTGTACATAAAACAAGGCATACATTTAAGTTACAGACATAATAAATGGGCAGGGGAATTTGTAGAACTCAAACCTCACACAACACTACTCATAAAGACTTTATATCTTAAAAAAGTTTATAATATTTTAAATTTGTATTGTTTTACACAACAATAACCTTGCACTAAGTATTTTTTCCAAAGATATATCATCTTTTTTTTTTCATTAAAAACTTGCTTAAAAATATTAAACTTAAACGTTCCCATAGTCTATACAAAGAAATAAGATATTTATTTTCACAATAATTAAACTTTTAATTAACACTTTTAATCTAATTTCAATTGAAAAAAATCCTTAAATAACTAAATTCTATGGATATTTAATAGCCTCCCAAATTCACTCAATGAGATCAAGATGTTTCTATTATTTTATACCTATTTAGTTAAAAATAATGAAGACTCAAGATAATACTATACTATAATAATGTTTTAAAAATTGAGGTTTGAGTTTGAGAAGTTGAACTGCAAAATGATAACAAAACTTTATAATACTCGTAAAGATGTAAGCGCAAAACAGCTGTAAATAATAGAGTTTAAAGTTAAGATGAAACGTAAAATACTGAATTCGGAAATGATTAAGTCACTGACTCTAATGTAGAGAGCACCCCATCCCCTACAAACCGTAGAGAAGCGTTTTTTTTTGTATAGCCTTAAGCCTAGAACGATACTCGATAAAGCCGCACAACTATATATAAATATATAAATATAGTACCTATGTATACATTTTTTTTCTGTTACTTTGTGTGTGTGTGAATCTGCCAAAGGATTCGAGAAGAAAGTAAAAATCTGAGCGGTGAAGAGAAGACTATAAATAAAGTTATCGTATTTATTTATATGTGAAATATTTTAATTAGGTGTGAAAAATATAGGATAAGGTAAGATTTCTGGTTTAATTTAAATGATGTTTGTCCTATTTCAACTGTATCGTTTTAATGGTCAAATTTAAACTGGAAAATTGCGTTTTGCATTGGGACAAGAGACCTGAATAATATACTTTTTTGCCGACCACAGCGGATACATAATTATGTGCATATTTTAGATTAGAAACAACAATGGCGAAAAAACAGAAAAAGAGTTCACAACAATTGCGAAAAATTGTGGATTTTTGAAGTGCGAAGCCCTAAAAATGCGCGTATGTAAATAATAAATACAAAATTATTGCCAAACAGAACCACAAAGTGTGCACAGGCCATTGCATCGCCTCGTTCCGCGGGAAGATCTCTCCACACGAAGATCTCTAAACTACGATCTCCGGCAGCTCTAGTTCCATTTTTCCATTTTTTCCATTTTCATTTTCGCCTCCTCTGCGGTCGCTGCATGGCATACATACTCGTAAATTGGAGAAGCGGCAGCCGTGGGTTGCTCAAACCCCCCGTAAAATGCCCCCCTCCAAAAACCCCCTTCGAAGAGGCAAAGTGCCAATGGGTGCCGCCATTGCTGCTCTGGACGGGCAAATCAAGACGGGGCAGTCAAGTGTTAAATTGCAAAAGACATTTCCATTGTCGGCAATTGCGAAACGGAAACCCTAGACTCTGGTCCACAGAGACCCGATCCAACCGATACACCGATAGTCTATAGCCCAACCCCATTGAACATCCACTGCAAATAATCGATCGATCGCTCTGTGTTGCTAGAACTGAAATAGTGATTTTTTACTAAGCTACATTTTTAAAATATCTGTTTTATTCTGTTTCTCAGTTATTATAATTGAATTATACATCATAGTCTGAACAATTTAAGGGTGACACAGAAATATCTGCAGATAAAATCTTACTATGGTCTACACACTACAAATAACCGATCGATAGCTCAGCTTTTTTAAAACTGAAAGAAAAAGAAAACTACATTTTTTCAATAACTATTTTTCAGCAATTTTAAACTTGTTTTTTATTACAAATCTGGCAATGAATATACCCTTTGAATATATATATATATTACAATCTGTTTTTGTGGCATTCAGACCTCTGAACAATTTTCGGGTGACACAGACAAAGTATAAAGATTAAAAATTCACTCTAAATGCTATGGAATTTCCGGAATAAAAGAAATTTAATTGCATACTTTTTAGAGACCTTCGTTGAAAGGAGCCTAAGATTAATGTTTCAGTGTAGAAGCCAGATGCAGGCAAGCATTAAAGATATGCTCCTCGATGTTTGGATACCTTTGGCTTTCTTCGGGCAGAAGCCCGACACACGTCTCATCTTCGATGTCCCCCTCATTTTATAGCTCCGGCTGTAATATAGTAAGTGATCCACGTGAAGATCTTGCGGTGGCCCAGAACAAAGGCAAACGCAGGGCTAGTAACTTTGTCAGCAGTTTATGATGGGCGACTTGAATTACCGCTGCGAGGATGGAAATGAAGCTGGAGCTGAAGAATGAAGCCTGAGCCGATCCAAGGGGTAATTAACTCCGAGTTGCAGCGCCAAAACAGCCAGCAGATGTACAGGCTACCGTGTGGATGGGATTCTTGGGTGGTCCTGTCCAGCGATTCGAGGGCGGAAAGTGAAGCCTGCTCATGAATGGATCGGCCTATGAATCGAGCTACGTTACAGAAGAGCCAGGTGAGCTAAAGATAGACGTAGGATATTGACCCACTTAAAAAAAGAATACCATAGGGACAATACGATGCACAATTTTAATTTGAATCTTTATTAAAAGCCTTAACTAATGGCTCTCTATGACTATGTTTAGTCACCTAAAATTGTATAGTTCTGTCGTAAGAAAAAGCAAGAAAAACCAATTTAAGTTATGAGTGGGTCTTCCATGGAAATTATGCTTTATCATTGATATGATATCATCAACCAGATTTGGCCAATTTCATCGCGTTTAACCTTTAAATTAGCAAATCAAATGAATTGTGAATCATCTTAATGAACATTACGCATAAAGATAAAGATAAAAATCAATGGGAGCACACAGGTACTTTGGTTGAGAATCGCAGAGAAAGGCGGTGCTTTTTGTCATCGCCCTATCCCGCTCCCTCATCCTTTTTGGAGACTTTATTCATTAGCTTTGATATGACCAAATACAAAAAAATGACACAAAAGTAACAAAGGCAACTTAAAAGCTGTCATTTCTCTCTCCCTCACTCAGCTTAAGTAATGGCAAAAAATTAACAAAACAACGACGAGTGCCATCTCGCTCTGACACCCCGTTAAGCCGAAACTGTAACAGTAACGGTATATGCAAGTGTAGATGTAAACGTAACGGTAACTGTGCTATTTACAATGCGAATTTCACTACACTGACAAGCGAGCTAAAATAATGTTTTATTTTGTTGTTATTCGCTTGGGGTGCGTGTTTTCCGCAAATAAACCAAAATGAAATCCGCAACAACAAAATCAAACGAAGCGGAACGGAGAGCAACAACAAAAGACAAGCAAGCGAGCTGTTAAGCGCCACCCACAAGTGTGCGCAAAGCACACAAAAATCAAAGAAAAAAACCCCACTCAGCTGAAAAAAAAAACAAATAAAGAGGAAAACACAAGTAAAAAGTAAGAACAAAAAAACACTAAGAGAAGGCAGAAATGTAACCACCCACAAAAAGAGAAACAAAGAGTGCAGCATCAAAACAAGAGAAATGGCGAGAAATAAGAGTAAGTGTTGTGCTGGCAATCGTCTGAATAAAATAACAGTTATATTTAAAATAACTATTTAAAAATTGTTTAGTTTTATTTGCTTGAAATAATAATAAAAGTCTGCAACTTTTGAGCTGAATGAAAAATTACACAAATTTAATTGAAATTATTTTATTTAAACTTTTTATATTAAATTTTTATAAGTTTACTTATTACAACTTTTTAACTTTTACAGTTATGGAACTTAAAATAGTAAAACTATTAGTTTAACATCAGCAAATTCTGAAGTGCGGCTTTATTAATATTTATTATTATTATATTCTGTTGTAACGTTTTAGCCATATATTTTAGAAACAAATTAAATACAAATTTTAAAATTATAAATACTAATACTAATACCTTCTTCAGGTGACTTCAAAATGAAAAACATGTGTAATTAAGCCGTTACTGACTCTCTTTACATTCAGTTCTCTTCTGTCACATTCAGCGCTTCTCTTTTGTCCTCTGTTTATTATTTTTTGTCAGCGGAATTGCGTTGAAAGGCCCAAAGTGATTCAGTGGATGTTTGGGTTTTTGGCCGCACTGAAGTGCGTTACTATATAGTATTGTGATACGAGTGTTTTTTTAAAGCGATGACCCTGGCCTATGACAAAACTCTCCAATCGAACACTTTTGCTGGCCAGTTTTTCTCCGTTAACCCAGTTAGTATTTATGAACGTCCGATTTAGCCAATTTAGCCGATTTATGATATGTGATTTGGACTAAACCCAGACGAGTGGGGGCTTTCCCTAGCTACGTCACTCTGACGTCACGGCACACGCCGCGTATGAGTAACATATTAACATGGCCTTAACACCTGCAATCGGGTGCCTAATATAGGGGCCCATATAGATATATAGATCGTTAGGGTGTCAAAAGGGGCGGGGTATCATTATGTTGTCGGAGCTGGCGGCACGCAGGCCAAAAGTTGATTTTTTGCACGGCCAATGCCAAATCACAGCGCCAAATTGTGGGGCACACCTGGTCCAGGGCCTCAGACTTAGCACCTCGCCAAATATCAGGGCCACACTGAAAGAAAAATTGTATCGATTTTCTTAGAATATTCAAATATTTTTAAAATCTTTTTCACAAGTTAATTGCTAAAAACTAAAGTGAAGTTTGATTTTTTTTTTTAGTTTTTTTTTAGGTGTATAGCCAACACAGTTTATTTTTTTCAAATAACATAGCCAATGTTTAATTTTTTTGTGGATCACTTGATGGTTTTGTTTTACCTTCGCCAAATCTCACATTATTTTAGCATGCTACTCCATGTGGGAGTGTGTAATTTCTCACGGTGCACCTACAATCTGTAGCTTCGATTTCGTATGTAAATTTTATGCTTTGCCTAATTTGCCTTTTTCGACTTTTTGCACCAAATGAAATTAGCTGCGCTGGCCGACAAAAAGCTCCATAGAGGAGCACGTTTTTGGAGGCGGTGGCGGTACAGTGCGGTCCGGGGGGCGTGGCCGGCGGTCGGCGACTAATGTGTTGGCATGTGTCAGACACGCATCAAACGCAGCGACAGGCGGCAGGGCAAAAAAGGCGGTGGTGCAGGATGGGGTCAAATGGGTAAATGGGCAAATGAGATGGCTTTTTGGCATCGCAGCGCGCTCGCCGGGAGGATTCAACTGGAGATGAAATGCTGGCTTAATTAAAACGAAATTGAAACTAATGGGACCCAAAACTAACTTTCGTTGAGTAACTTACCTGCAGGTACAAATATAATGGGACAAATTAATTGAAGGAATGTGAAACATAAATACATGTTTGTTACTCAAAGAATGTTTAATTTAAAAAGTACACATGTTGCATGGAATTTGAAGAAAGTTTTACTTTTGTAAATAAAAGTTGAGTTGAAAAAGGTAAAATGAGCCTAGGGAAATCGCACATATTTAATTGATCTAATTGACTTCATAAAACATGACTTAAGTTGAAAATATTGCTTATTATATTATATTGTTAGAGAGGTTAATTTTCCGTATTATATTATATTTTTAAAAAGGGTAATTTCAATAGGGTTTAAATTCTAATGCATTTGTACTAATTCTTTGATATAAGTTTATTAAAAATTGCTGACCATCTAAAACATTTCGATTGATGAGTATTACTATTATATTATTAATATCATCTGACGCAAAATGAATAAGATCTGCGCATAAAGTATAAAGTAGATGATGAGTCCATAAATCCTTTGTCTG